CCTTGTACCTAACCCACATGGAGTATTTGCCTCCTCTTCATAGGAACACACGCTCGGAGGTTCTGGGATTCTATCTCTCCATATCAAGTGTCCCACTATCAATAATGAGCACACAAGGCTGGGCCTTTCCATAATGGGACCTCAGCTGCCCTTCCTAGGAGGCCCTGCCTCCATCATCGCCCCATCTGTCACTGTCCTCCACCCAGAGGCTGGCTCCTCTCCAGAATGCATCCTAACTGAACCACCGCCATTCGCTCTCTTCTTGACTGTTTTTGGGTGTCCATTGATCCCTCCTTTCACGCACAGGCTGATGCTTTTCACACTGGACTCTTGTTGCATACTCCAATCAGCTGCAGCGCTGCGGTCCGCATGCAGTGGCCATGCTCTTCAACAAACTCCTCTGAAAACATTGCTTGGACCTTCCTCCTCAAAAAACATGTGTCACCTGTCCAGTTGAAGGGTACAATGTGCCCAGGACCACCCAAAACAAGCAAAAGGCCCCTCTTCATCACTACACACCTACTGCGTTGCGACACAAGGCGGGAACAAAGCCCTTGACTTCTTTCACACACATCTTCAGAAAGAAACTGACTAAAAACTCCTCCTCCAAGTCCCAGCCAACAGAACCTCTGGGTTGAGTTCCTCCCCTGACCTGGGCGTCTCTTCACAGTTAGAGGAACTCCGAGAGACAAAGGCACGGGGCAACATCCAAGCGATTGGGTACTGCAGCGCAAGTCCCCAGCAAAGAGAATCAATTCCGGGTCCCTCAGACATAACCTCACCTCAGGGCTCAGAACCTTAGGAGGCCTTAGGATTTGAGTACCCATTGAGCTCCCACAATCTCGGAGGGATAGGTGCCATTGTCCCAGGCCAAGAATTTCATCACTGCATGTTGTTCGGAGATGGATGGAAAGGGCAGGGCCACAGAACAGTCAGGCATTCGGCCTATCATATTCTTACTGACGTATAGTGGAAAATCTTTTTCTGGTCCATGGGCACCGCTGAAGATATGGAGCCACCCTACAGGCTCCAAGCTGCACCCCAAGGATTCACTGGAGTTTTCTGTCTCCTCCTCTTCTTCAATGTCCCAGTTAAGAGCCTGTGTGTCCTCCATAATCTGATACTGTTTGAAGTATTTGGGATACATCTGTGAACCAAGCATAAAAGGAACCCTGCCTTCATGGAGGCTACATCACTGAGCCTACTGATGAAAGAAATGGGGCCCTGCGTGGTGGCCCATGCCTGCAATCCCAGCACTCTGAGAGGCCGAGGCGGAAGGACCGCCCAAGGTCAGCAAGTCAAAACCAGCCTGAGCAAGAGAGAGACTCCGTCTAAAAAATAGAAAGAAATTAATTGGCCAACTAATATATACAGAAAAAATCAGTGGGGCATGGTGGTGCATGCCTGCAGTCCCAGCCACTCCGGAGGCTGAGGCAGAAGGATCCCTTGGGCCCAGGAGTTTGAGGTCGCTGCGAGCCAGGACGACGCCACGGCACTCACTCTAGCCTGGGCAACAAAGCGAGACTCTGTCTCAAAAAAAGAAAGAAAAGAAAGAAAGGAAAGAAAGAAGAGAGAGAGACAGAGAGAGAGAGAGAGAGAGTGAGAGAGAGAGAGCGAGCAGGGACATGGTTTTGTCAGATTGTTATCCTTCTCTATACCTGAGGAGTGCCACCTGAGGTGACCTGTGTGTTTCTCCTATAGTGTATACCAATTTTACAACAATAATGTAGTCCTTTTAGTCAAAAAAGTAAACTATCTAATGTATATTTTGTGCAAGTAACATGTCAAAATACACTGAGTGATTAACAACAGCAGTGTTCAATTTGAGAACAAAAACTATATCATAGCTCACAAGCCATAGGAACACAGGTGGCGGGCCAGGTGTGGCCCACCGGTCACAGTGTGCGGCTCTCAACACACCAAACAGAAGACAAAGGATGTCCGAGTGAATTCGCAAAGTGAACTAAACAAATACCGCGCGTGAGGACTGCACGCTGCCGTACGCTGGTGTACGTAGGTTCAAGTGAAAGGCGGGACGGGAGTTGCAGAGGCCTGTGCGTGTGCGTGTGACCCGCTGGGCGCTTGGCTTCCCCAGCTCCTGCTTGTCCTCGCCGCCCCTCCCTTTCTCTGCTGAGGAAGATGATTCCTGTCACTTCTCACCCTGGGAAGTGTCGCTGTGGCCCACACAGACACAGCGTGGCCCTGGCGGGCTACAGGATCGGGCGTGGCTCTTCAGCTCCAGGCTGCCGGGCCCTGTCCTCGCCTGCCTGGCGTGGCTCTCTCTGTCCCTGTGCTGACGGCGCCAGGGCTGGAGCACGAGAGGGAACGGGCTGCTGCCTTCCCACATTCCCGTCTAGCAAAGAAATAACCCAAACACAGCCAAAGGGAGGAGGTGGCGAATTCTGCTCTCCACGTGAAAACCTTCTGTTTTTTGACAGAACTGTA